ACACACACACACACACACACACACACACACACACACACACACACACACACACACGTAGAGGCAACCAACACTTTAGCACAATTCTAGTACCGGCAGAACCACCTGTCTCTGCCAGGACACACAACCAGACAGACAGCACAAGTGGAATGGGCATTTAATTGTCTCTAGGATGCTTCCAAGAGGGGAATGCGGGGCCTTTGGCAGAGCTCTGGCTGATGGAACCGACAGAAACACCCATCAGGCAGTGCCAGACAGGGAGATAGCCCCAAGGCCTGGCTAGGGACAGCCAGCATGGTGGCTTTGCTTAAGACAATCTCTGAAACAAGTTAGTGAGTAAGGAATGTTGCCTCTAAAGGAAGGAGAGGAGGCTACAGAAAGGGCCCAGGTTTTTAGGGAGAGACTCCAAGGTCAGAAGATTAGGAATGACAGGGAGTTGGTCACAAGGTCCTTCAAGGTCCTCATGAGGAGCTGGGTCAGGACTATGACCATCCTGACTCAGGCCAGCTTCAGGAACTCCTGCAGTGTGTTCTGCTCCACGGCCTCCACGAAGAGTTCATAGCCCTGAGGAAGGAGGTAGTGACCTGAGTGCAGATGCAGGGACCCCGGTGCTTCGCTCAGGCCTGACCCTGGCTGCAGCACGCCAATGCCTCCCAGACCCCAAACCCCATACCCCACAGTAGGTGTTCCCGTTGACAATCTGGGGTGGGGTAGCCGTTGGGTTGCCCGCCAAGGCTCGCATCTCATCTCGAAGGGCGTTGTCCTGGGAGATGTCCAGTAGCTGGTATTGGATTCTCTTCCCATCTAGGATGCGGGTCACCTCACTCTGCTGGGACTTGATCTAGGGGTGGAGGATTGACAGGGTTGGCAGGCAGGCTGGAGGATTTATGGAGGAGCTCTGGTCGGGTGCGAGCAACAGCTTTTGTCGCCCTGCCCACTCTGCGGGCAGGTTCTGGCCACGAAGGGTTTACCGATGACAGGGGAACTACAGGAGTTTCAGAAAGAGAAGATGGTCAAGTTCTGGGCAAGACAGGGAAGCTGGACTCCGCCAGAGCAGGCCTACAGGAGAAATACCCTCCTCCACAGCCTCACGGTGGAGGGAAAGCGGGATTAAGGAGGTCGGGGGTGGGATGGGGTGCAAAAGAATGGGTGGCCCCATAATGGGGGATGAGTGTGGACAGCTCATGCTGGGGATGCTGAGGGATTCCCTGCTGGAGAGGTTTAGGCTGGGCAGCGACCCCAGACCAGACCTGGGAGGCCATACCCGGCACCCCACTGCCTCCATCGTGGGGGCGGCTCCCGGGAGCCGGTCGCGGACCGCCCGCCCGCTCTGGGCGCCACCCCAGGCACACACTTACTTCACGAGAGCCGGTCACCGACGTGCTGTAGACGCGCAGGCCACTCATGCTTCTGGAAGAGGGATACGCACACCAACCGAGGGACGGTGGGAGCGGCTGTGCCTCGGCGCTTGGGAGCGGTTTCCTTCCTGCTCCGCCCGCGAGTCACTGCGCTCGGAACCAATGAGCTGCGTAGGCGGGTAAGGCGGGGCCTGCACGGCAACGCCCTGCGCGGGAGGCCCCCTCCCTTCCCCGCTCTGTGGCCTGGAGCAAGGAAGACCCCTGTCCTCTGCAAATGCTTGGCTACCCCATCAGCCCTTCCTGAGCCGGGGCTCCAGCGTGTGGCCGGGGAGGCCCCGAAAGGCAGAAGGAGCTGGGAAGGCAGGCAGAATCACGGCCGGCTCGGCTAAAAGCTTCCCCGAGTCTCCCAGGGTTTTGTGAGTCCAGTGCCCAGCACTGCCCCACCCTCTCCGGGAGGTCTCTTAACAGTGCAGCTCGGCATGGAACTTTGGAAGGCGGGGGGTCAGTTTTCAAGTTCTGGGACCAAGAGCGGGAGGGGGGGATGAGGGGGGACACTGGGGATCAGAGCAGCCAGGACACTTCCTCTAAAACACCTACTGCTCTACTCAAACAGGCTCTGACAAGAAAGGGTGGTGGCTCTAAGACCGGGCCACACCCTTCAGGAGCCAGATGGCAGCTCACTAGTGTGGGGGCAAAGGCGGGTGGCACGACCTGAGAGCCCCTGGCGGCCCTTGACAGAGGTCCACAACTGGTTTTGGAGTGATGTTGCAAATGACACGCCTGTAATCCCTGCCCTTGAGAGGAAGAGGCAGACTGATGTCTGAGTTCCAGACCAGCCTGGTCCACAGAGGGAGTCCAGAGAAAGCTAGGGACACACAGAGAAACTGTCTTGAAAAAAAAAGAAATCAGCTGATGAGGTGGAAGGGAGTTTAGCACCCATCCCAACTTTGGAGCGAGCTGCTAGGTTCAATATAGCCCCCTCAGGGTTCCAGGGCTACTACACAGGTAATGGTCCCGAAGATGATCCCGCTGCTCCCTGAGGCAAACTGCCTATCTGGTTTCACTTCCTCAAAGCCACAGAAACCCAGAAACTGCTGACTTCCGGGAGGTCTGCGGCACCTTTGGGTGACAGCTGACTGGTGGGGTGCTCTCTGCAACAGAGTGTGAGCAGAGACCTCATCTATCCACAGGAAAAGCAGAAGTGGGAAGAGACTCAGACACAAATCGGGACCTGCCTACAGTCACTGCAGACTAGTCGAGGGTGGGTAGGGTGCGGGGAGGCAAGGGAAACAAGCGTCTGTTAAATGTTTTATTCTGTAATCAAAATAGGCAATGCAAACCAGTCGACGTAACAAAGATTCATATAAATAACTTTATAAACTTTACCAAGAAAAATACCCGTGAGCACGGAGGCTGGGCTCCCAATGACATAGGGTGGAAACCAACCAGGAAGTCCTGGTTTTAGAAAGCAGGAGCCCAGAGGCTGAGGGGTAGCCAGCCAGGTGTGGCTACTCCGAAAGCTTAGCCACTCCACAAATAAAACGCCAACGTGTGAAACACCTGTAACAAGGCCCGCTCAGGCCCTGGAGGTCCAGGGGTCTTTAAACAACCCAGAGGCTTAGCAATACTCCTGTCATGGCTGCCTCTGCACCCCTGAACTACTTTGCTCCTCATACATAGAGGGCCCTTGACTCCAACCTAGACAAGGTTGAGGGTTGGCCCAACAACCAGACAAAACTGCGATGATCCGTAAATCAGGATCCCTAAATCAGAAAAACCAGAAAGCTGAAGGTCAAAGGCCCTAGAGAAACACAAAACACCAGGAAACACTGAACACTTTATCTTAGCACTGACTCATACTAGGTGCTCTGAACTCTCAAGGTCAGGGCAATTAAGGGAAATCCTCCCAATCCCAAACTAGAGGCACAAATCAGAGGGCTAGCTACAGGCCCCAGCCTTGGGAAGGGGTGAGCTGCGTGACTTGACAGTTGCCCTGTGGCCTTCCAGGGGAAACTTCTGTCCAACCCAAGAACCACAGGGCAACCATAGAGGAGTCTGCACTTAGGTACCCCAAATGGGCTACCCAGAAGGCCCAAGCAATGGAGAAAGGCTAAGCTGACCACATACCAAGGGCTCCAGGGACACAAGGTACCTAAACAGATTTTCCTGTTAAAGATGGCACAGCTTGCAGGCTGAGGGGCCCTGCTGTAGTCCCCAAGCTAGCAATCCTAGTGGAGACTTTGCTGCGGGGTGGATAACCCTGAGGCCTCTGTGGGAACAACAGCCCTGAGGAAGCAGGTACCTGAGAAACCCCAGAAAGCCAGCCGAGTTCCCAGAAAGGCTGATACATGGAGCCTGAGAACTCTTTTCAAAAGGTTGCTACTCCTATTTAACCCTTTAGGCCTCTCTTAATAGAGCATCAGCAGGACCAACCGTATGGAGTAGGAATGAACATGGATCCACCCTGGAGGATGGAGAGGGGAGGTGAGCAGCCTGTTTGCTTCTAATGTCAGGTTAGGGCTGGGAACAATTTGTGAGAACTTTATCAGCTGAATCTGCAAAAAGGTTAATTAGTAACTCCACCTTTAAAAGTGAGTTAAGATAACAGGTGAAACATAACCAAATAAGACAAAGCCAGTGGACAGCAAAACTTCTCACAACACTGGTCCCAGATACAGGCTCTCCCCTCTGGGTGCAGCAGCAGAAGGCAGGACTGCCAGGGCAGAAACACTCTGGCAAGGCTAGCAGCAGCCCAGATCCTCCCTGGCACTCCTCACTGTGTGGCACAGTTTTCCCCCATGTCCTGGGCATATCTGTCTGACAGGCTGGTCCTTAAGTCCTCAATGTCGTGACGCAGCTGTTGAGCCTCTTCAAGTTTTCTCCTGATCACATCTGGCTTCTGCAAATCTAGCTGAGTCCCTGGGTGCTGGGTGGCTGGGGAGGAGAGTTAGCAATCAGGTGATTTGAAACCTCACAGAACAGGCAGAATAAACAGCAGTTCTTACAGCTCATACTGGGGCACATCTTTCCCCAGTAGTGGGGACTGAGCCAAGACTTTGCATATTAACCAAGGACTCTACTGCAAGCTACAACCCCAAATTTAGGAGACACAGGCTTCAATCTCTCCCTGCCACCCTGACCAAAGCGGCCACCAGCCAGCCTGCTAACATGCTGTCAGAGGTAGGAAGGGGGCAAGGGAGTGGCCACTGGGTGTGTAGCTGGGAAAGTTAAGAGACCTGAAGACCCAGAGCTGAAAGGTAGGTTGCTATTTTTTTTTTTTTAAAAAAAAAAAAAAAAAAAAAAAAGGACATGACACTTTTAAAGAACAAATTGGGAATAATGTGCTGATAATTTGTTGCCTAAGGCCTGCTTTCTGTTTGTCCTCCAAGCAAGCACATTCTAAAGAGCCCTGTTTGTAAAACACTTAATGAACACTTACTTTGACAACTCCCCCAAGGCAGTGGCCAGGCCTATGCACCTGGTTCACAATTACCATAAGAATAGCAAGCTGGGTGAGGAGAGAGAATGAAGGCTCTTTTGGTGACTCACAGTGAATGCCTAGGAGCAGAGAGAGGTTAGGATTGTGGCCCTGGGCTCTTTGGGTCACAATGCTGCATACAGCTTGCAGATCTTGAAGGCAACTGGCCAATTCCTGGTGCAGCTCATATACCAGCTGAGCCATGTCTGGTGAAGGTGAGGGCCCTGGCTGGGCCTGTCGCAAGTGCTCTTGCAGTGTCAGATTCTTCTCAATCAGGTCCTGGTTTTGTACTGAGAGCTAAGCAAACATGATACATTGATTAAGACCCAAGAAAGCCAGAGGATCTGTGTAAATTTGAATGTATGTGGGTGTGAACGTGCGTGGAGAAGAAACCTAGTCATAAACATTGTCTCTCTTCATTGTTATCCACAATGAAGGCTTGGTGCCATATTCCCCAAGCCCCTTTCCCTCTACAAAGACTAGTGTGTCCTGTGCGTAGGCTGAGCCCAGGCCCTTAGGGACCCAACACTGGAGAGGAACCTATTCCTCAGCAGGATCTGAGTCATCAGCCTTCAGGTTTCGGTCCAGGAACCACCCCCTCGGAACTCTATCTGAAGCCAGTCCCTCAGCCAGCTCTGTTAGCCAGGCTATTAGAGATGGCGTAACGTGAACAGTGAAATCTGAGGAGACACAGGTTTCAATCTCTCCCTGCCACCCTGACAAAAGTGGCCACCAGCCAGCCTGCTAACATGCTGTCAGAGGAATGAAGGGGGCAAGGGAGAGTAAGACTGCTATTGGCCACTGGGTGCCTGGCTGGGAAAGTAAGAGACCTGAAGGTCCAGAGCTGAAAGGCATCTTGACCCCTGCTACCCCTTTTGAGACAGGGTATCACATAGCCACATAGCCTAGTCTAGCCTCAAACTTCCTACATAGCTGAGGACAAGCTTGAACTTCTGATCCTTCTGTCTCTACTTTCAAAATGTTACGAGTTACAACTATATACTTCTACCCCAGGTTTATAGCTTCATGCATGCAAGGCCAGTGCCCTACCAAGGCAACTACACCTTAACAGGGAGGTGAAATTCTAGCATTCTACATTTCAAGCTCTCACTGTAGTAGTCAGGCTTTCCTGTACAGAGCAGCTACTCACATGAGGTTGTCTCTGCCTTCTCTCTTCCTGAGAGCTTAACACACCCACACCTCACAGGCAAAACACCATCCATCTCCAGTCTCTGCCCTTCATGTACACTGGACCATATAACAATGTTAGGCACTTGGCCAGGGAACTCACTGGGTCCTACTGACAATTCTATTCACTATATGAGTACCACTAAGTGTTGATTCATTTGGGGCTGTGTGTGAGACAGGCTTGCTTTGAAGTCAGTCTCAACTTCCCAAGTGCTGGGATTACATATGCACAGCCACACCCTACCCATCATCAGCTTGACCTCTCCCGCCCCTATAATCTCATAAGCCTGTGGGTGCACAAAGACTGAGGGGGAGGAAGTGGAGTAGGAAATCGCACATCTGAAAAGTGTTCCTGGGTGATTACAGCCACTCTAAGATAGGCCTAGAGCCTTTAACATATACTCATTCCTTTGCTAAGAAGCTTACTCCCCTCTCACACTCTTAGAGGGTAAGGATGGGGTGGGCAAAGGGAGAAATTAGCTTTGTGAAGGCTCTACGGGACTAGTCAATGCTTACCTCCTTCACGGCAGTGCGCATCTGCTGCAGGGCTGTCTCCCTCCGCTGTGCCTCCTCTCTCAAGGCCTGGCTTATTCCTTCTTCTTGACCCAGTTCTTGCTTTAGGCTCTAAAGACCACACAGAAGGTGTTGTGCAGAACACACCCAGGGTAACAAGTCTCAGTGGCATGGTATCATCTCTCACCTGGACTACACAGTGAAGTGCCACCCTACCACACAGCTTTTAAGGGTTATATGAGAACAGCCCAGTGGTTCTCAACCTTCCTAATGCCATGCCCTCTAATACAGTTCCTCATGTTGTGGTGACCCCCAACAGTTATGAATTGTAATGTGAATATCTGTGTTTTCCAACAGTCTTAGGTAACCCCTGTGAAAGGGTTGTTCGACCTCAAAGAGGTCACACCCACGGCTGGGAACCACTGATTAAAGCCCTTCCACCCAATAAGCCATTAACTACTAAAACTATGGCATTTTAAATGCCCATCCGGTCTGACTACTTCCTGACAAGAACTGAAAGAGATGAAGTACACAGACATAACTGGAAAAGGGAAACCTGTGGCCTTCAGCTTTCCTCAGTGCAATTCAACAGTTTGGTGTGAAACCCTTTTTATTTTCTCCATATATATATGTGTGTGTGAGCCAAATGTGTGTTTGCACATGTGCAAGCAAGCATGCACTTGTGTACTCTGTGTGGAGGCCAGAGATTGGTGGGGTTTTTTTTGTTTTTGTTTGTCTTCTTCAAGACAGGGTTTCTCTGTGTAGCCTTGGCTGCTCTTGAACTCAGAGATCCACTTGCCTCTGCCTCCCTGAGTGCTGGGATTAAAGGTGTACAGCACCACTGCCTGGCTGATGTGTCTTTTCTTGATTCCTCTCCTTCCTGTGTACTGAGGAAAGGTCTCTCACCTCAGCCCAGTGCTGACAATTCAGCAAGTCAGTTTGCTCCAGGGGTCCTAGGTCTGGCTGACTCCTGGCACTGGAATTACAGGTGGGCTCACCTAGCATTTACACTGGTGCTGGGGTCTGAACTCTGTTCCTGACACACAAAAAAATGTTCTTTCCACTAATCCATATCCCCAGCCATGGTGTAAAACCTTTTAGAGTTCAAAAAATCCTGAGTGAATCTATCTCACAAGATTTCTCAGAGAATGCAATTAATGAACATTCCTACTCTGGCCCAAAATAGGAACCAGGAGCTATCACTGGTTGGAGACCATGCTTTGTGTGGTTCTTTACTGTTCCTCAGGTCCCTACTCCTGCCAGCCACTGATTCCTTCTAAGTGTTCCTTCTATCTGTCTTACACCTCTTCCCTGTTATGATGCCTTATTCCACATCCCTCCATCACCTCACTAGATTTTCTGCTGCCTCTTCACAGGATGCCAAGCTTCCAGCTGAGCCTGAACTGTAAGCCTCACATACCACACCATAAACTAAATGTTCTAGTAAGATTCCCATCACCCACTAAAGATTAAATGTTAACACGGCAGGGATCTGGAGAGGTGGCGCAGCAGTTAAAAGCACTTGCTATTCTTAACAGTTTGATTCCCAGCACACACATCACACATGGTTCATAACCATCTGTGACTACAGTCCTAGGGGATGTGACACCCCTTCTGACTGCTGCGGGCACCAGGCAATGGGAATGCATACATGCAAAAGCTAACAGTGTAGGACAGACAAGAACTTCCCATAATCTCTTATGCTCTGCTTTCCACTCACTACCTTAAACTCAACATACTGCATAAGGATGGTTGGTCTACATATATGGACTACATATAAGACAATGAGGTCTTGTAAGATACAGTCTAGTAATGAAGTATCTTAGTATATTTTGTAATGTTCACAAAGATGAAATCATCTAACTACACATTTCTCAAAATGTATCCTCACTGGTAAGCAGTACATAACGGTTCTTCAACAGTATCAAACTGCTTGCAGGTGTATGTTTAAACTTGATGTTCCTCAGGATCTCCAGAAACTGGTCCTTAACCTCCTTTCCTCGCACTGACTCTCCTGAGTTCACTCCTCTAAGGTGATATGAGCCTTGATCTCAGAGAACTGTGCTGAAACTTCTATCGTATCTGTTCTCTCAATGAGACAGGAGGCTCAGAAGCCTGTATTGCAAATAACAAGCAAATGACATAGCAGAGAAAGGAATAAAATGTTAAGCTGAAGTCCAAGCCTCCATCAGGTCACTTCCATCCACCGTGGGCCAAAGCGTCCTGCTTACCTGGACTTGAGAGTGCAGCTGCTCTATCTTCAGTTGTTGCCTCTCCACAATCTGAAAGGCAAAGTTATCAAGAAAGGTTTCAAACACAGAGCTGATGTGAAAAAGGGACTAGATGAGGATCTCTGATCCAAGATCAGCTACAGTCCATTATGAGACCAGGACTAGTTGGCACAACCTACAGAAACCTGAAGTCCTGATCTTTTTTATGTACTTTCACACTCCTGTGATGCCATGCTCTGGACTTAACAGAGGTTTACAATGGAATGCAAAAGTCCCCATGAGCACTTCTAAGGTGGAGGACCTTCACCTAATGACTGGTCAGTGGAAGTAACTCCCAGTACACACGGAGGTTCTTCCGAAAAGGACAAATTCAACTTAATGGGACTCCCTATCCAGGGCTACTATTGGGTATGGATTTAGAGCTTTGGTCACAGTGTCCATCCAAGAAGAAATCCTAAACAGTGGCAGCTTTCTAGGAGTCAAGAGCTCACATAGCCTCTGAACCATTTCTGGATGATTTTGCTAACCTAACCTGCAGGTTATTGGCATATACCACCAGGAACCTGTAACAGCAGGTTACTGGATCTCTATTATTTGATGAATTGAGAAACTGAGCTACCTCAGCGGCTATAACATTTTGATCAATATTTGCAGTGTCTCCAAGACCTGAACCATGACTGTAGTGCACCTGGACTTTGGTGACTATTTTGGTTCATTTGACCAGTTTGGTTTTCATTGCCCTAACTTTTGTGTATATTCCTGATCATCTAAGACTGAATACCTAAAATGCAAACTTAATATACAGGGCTGGCTTCTCAGAAGGAAGAAAGCTCTTAGGCGCAAACCCTAGGTAGCTTAAGGCCAGGAACTCCTGATTCCTTCCCAGTATACAATCTCTTCTTTCCTCCCAGCCTACCTGGGCCAGAGCCCAGATACCATTAATCACCTTTCGGAGGGAATCACATTCCTTCTGCTGGGATTCCATTTCCACTTTGAGGCCTTCTCCACTGGCTTCTTCCACAGACTGTTTATCTTGCAAGCTGAAAGACAATGTCTTCTTCTAGGACTATGAAATCAGAACCACTGTAGCTTTTGTCACACTCAGTTCTGTTACTTACTATGTCTTTGGAGGAAAACAGTCACGGCCTCCTACCTACAGATGACGATGGTGTGATACAGGGGTCCCTGAGTGTACTGTTTCATTTACTAGGAGGCAGAATCTACACAGTATACCATCAGGTCTCTATTTGGCAAAGGCCCTTGTATGCTTTGTTTTGGTATTAAAATATAAATTTTGAAAAACACGTAAGAACTCTTTTAGCTGGGCATGGTGTATATGCCCAAAATTCTACCACGTACCAGAAAACAGAGACAGAGGGATTTGCCAGATTACAGCCAATATTAAGTCATGCCGGAATACAGAGCAAGACCCTGTCACAAAACAAAGCATATCTCCCACCCCCCGTGCATATTATATAGGGCAGGGCCATCTTTGTCCCTGTCCTAAGTTAGCTTTTAATCGCTAACGTGGTACAGCCTAAAATGAGGTTAAGGGAACTCACTTTGAGAAACCCTCAAAGCACTGGATGAAGAATTTTCTAGATCAGAGTGGCTGTGGGAAGTACCATCCCTAGTCATGTGGTCTTGGACTGCGTAAGAAATTTAGCTTGCTTTGACCACCTCTCCCTGAGGGGGGAACAGCCTTACCACAGAGGAGGACAATACAGCCAGTCCTGAGGAGACCTGATAAGCTAGAGTCAGATGGAAGGGGAGGAGGACCTCCCCTATCAGTGGACTTGGAAAGGGGCATGGGAGATGAGAGAGGAAGGGTGGGATTGGGAGGAAATGGGGGAGGAGGCTACAGTTGGGATACAAAGTGAATAAACTGTAATTAATATAAAAAATAAAAATTTAGTTAAAAAACGAAAAAAGAAAGAAATCTAGCTTGGCTGGAGACACAGTTCAGCCATTATGAAAGCATACTGCTCTTGCAGAGGCCCTGACTTTGGTCTTTAACACCTGTGTCGGGCAGCTCACAACCCTGGCACCCCAGCCCCAAGGGGGTCTGATGCTGCCTCTATAGGTGCTGCACCCATGTGTACACATGAGCACCCCGACACATAGACATAATTGAAAATAAAATTTTTAAATGAACTGTAAACTAGAAGAGTAAGATGAAATACATCTCTTCCTCCTCTATATTGCTTTTGGTCAGTGTATTTTCATCACAGCAACAGAGCTGAAACTACAACAACCCTCCAATTCTGGTTCCAACAATGCTTCCTCCAACTGGTCCCTCATAATCACTTCTAACACTATCCATCACTGAGGTAAACAAGAGGATCACTGTGCTTTAACACAGGATGAGAAATCTAATCTACCTACTGGAAATTTTCACTCCAAGAAGCGGCTGTTCAGAAATTGTTATTTACTCCCAAGATACCCTGAGAGTAAACCATAGTATCTTCTTCTGTTCTCAGAGACTATCCTAGCAATCAACAACAATTCTGAGGGTTAGGAGTGGTGACTCACACGTCTGATCCTAGCACTTGCAGGGAAGAGGCAGGTGGATCTTTTGTGAGTTCCAGGACAGTTAAGGTTACAGAGTAAGACCTTAAGATATGTCTCAAACATATCCCCCACTGGAAAACAAAACAAAACAAAAAATCAATTCTGAGGGCTGATAAGAAACAGATGCTAAAAAAAAAAAAAAGAAAGAAAAAGAAACAGATGCTTCTGCTGGCCTCCAGCTTACAGACTCAAAATGTGCATAATCCCTAGGCCTTTACACCAAGATTCACTGCTGAAAAATATAGATGATCTCATATCCTACACTACAAATTATTTTCCTTTCTTTTGAGACAGTCTCACTATATAGTCTTAGTTGGTCTGGAATTATGTAGACTAGGCTGGCCTTGAACTCACAAAGATCTGCCTGCTTCTGTCTCCCAAGTGGAAGTGCGGTGATTAAAGGTATACACCGCCATGCCTGGCTCTCAAGGATTATTTTATGTTAGTCACTGAGATGGGTTCTCCCAATCACACTATGATAAAACCCCCACCATACTACGAAGACAAATTAAATTTCCTGCCCATCAGCAACTTTCCTATTAGTCACAATCCAGAAAAAACAAAGTTCTGAGAGGGGTTTTGTACATTCACTCAAAAGCAACACTGTCAAAGACTAAGGGTTAACACTGCACAAGAACTATGCTCCTCCCCTCAAGTACACAGGGCATTACCTAATGGAGGAGAATTCTGCTTCTCTCTGTCTCAGGCTTTCCAGCTGAACCTCCTTCTCTCTGCAGGTTGCCTGGGTATCCTCCAGCAAAGTCTCCAGCTCAGCCACTCTCTCTTGCAGTTCTGTGTTCTTTAACTCAGCATCCTTAAGCTAAGAGACAGGACCCCATTCTTAGCCAAGAAAGACTGAGTCGGTATCTCAAACACTGAAGTCTGTAAGCTGGTTGTGGTAGTGCGTGCCTTTAATCCCAGCAAGAGGCAAGTGGATCTCTGTGACTTCAGGCCAGTCTGCTCTCTGTAGTGATTCTAGAACAGCCAGGGCTTTTTCATGAGACTTTGTCTCCAAGGAAAAAAAAAACAAGTCTGGCACGGTAGTGTACACCTTTGAACCCAGCAATCAGGAATCAGAGGCAGGTAGATCTCTGTGAATTTGAGGCCAGCCTGGTCTGCACAGCAAGTTCCTGGATGGCCAAGACTACATAGAAAAACTGTATCTCAAACTGAAAAAAACAAACAAACATGCAAGCAGTTGTGAATCGAGCTAGACATGCCTCCTTTGGGATATGCCTTTCAAGAAGTCAGAGACAATGAGACCATCCCCTTGCCTGGCCACTTCCTGCTTACTCCCAGTATAGCCAGAGATTGCTGCTACCTGTTCCGTCTGTTTCTGATGATCTTCTAGGGTGGGCAGGTCAGCTAGGTATCGTTCCAATGTCTCAATTCGCTGCTGCTTCTCCCGATTCTGCTCTGATTCCTTCTGACATTTTTTTTTCAAATTATTGATATGTTTATCACGACCTTTTACCTAGTAAAAGAAATGTCAAAAGTCCGTTTCCATGTATTCTTCTAAGGCTATGAGCAATTTTTCAGTGACTGCCCTTGGTGCTATGCATATTTTTCTACTGTAATGAAGACAGAAAGCTAAGCAACTTGTACCATCTGGATTTGGAACATCAACTGCACAGGTAACATTTCTGAACTTTCCAGTCAAGGGTAGGGATAAAGAGCACCTAAGGTAGTTTCAAAAAGCTGTATTCAAACTGGGTGTGGTGGCACACCCCTGCAATCCCAGTACTCACAGGAGGCAGAGGCAGGTGGATCTCTGTGAGTTTGAGGCCAGCCTGGTATACAAATCTACTGTAACTGGTTTTTATTCAGGTAGCCCAGAGCTAAGAACATTTATGGAGAAAGCTGGGAATTGGAGTACCAACAGAAACCCAAAATTTTAAAGACCTTCCCCAATGGTGACCAATTTTATCCTAAGGATTTCTAAGAGCACTGACAAACTCATAATCTAGCTGCAAACATGAACTCTTTCTCTACTTTTCCGTAGGGTGAAGAGAAACCAGACTGAATGGAGTTAAGTTTAACACAGACATCTAAACTCTTGCAATGTGCCATGTGTTACAACTGCCTGGGCTGGTTCTTCTCTAGAGCTGCCAGCACACGAGAACCTGTCTTAGTGAGGAACCTTCCCTGAGGAGTCTGGTGGGAATCAAGTAGAAAGAATGTCCCTGGGAGAGACATCAACGAAGAGTCTCACCTAACTGCCTCTCCTGGTTAGGAGAACATACTAGAAACGGATGAGACTATAAGGGCTGACTGCTAACTCCCCTGTGGTCTAGAGCCAACAGCTTCTCAACTCACCCTCTCCTCCTGCTTCTTCCCCTCCTCCGAATGCTTCTGTAGTGTCACTTTGAGAGACTCCCTAATGAGCTGAATTTCAACTTCTGAAGCAGAGAGTTTCTTTTCAAGCTCCATCTTTTCCTTGCTCAAGGCTTCTGTCTTCTGTGCAAACTGTGCCCGTAAGAAAGTGTTCTCTCGCTGCAACTCCTGCCAAAAATATTCTTAATTTGTAATTGGCTCCCTGTAGTTATACATTTCCCATCACACTCTAGGTCAATGGCTTCAAACTTCAGGTAATGCTTCCTCTCTAGCACCAAGAGAGTCAGTATCATGTGTTACTGGAATTTGTTAAGTTTTGGAACTTTACTCATTGGCTCACTGAATCAGAAATGCTAGGGGCATGGCCTAGTGATCCGTGTGGACATACGTCCTTCAGGTGACTCTGATATGCACTCAAATTTGAGAACCACTGTTTTAACAGCAATACTGGGGCTACAGAGCTGTCAAAGTGGTTAAGTGCACTGGCTGCTCTTGCAGAGGACCCTAGTTTAGTTCCCACTACCCAAATGGCAGCTCACAACCATCTGTAACTCCTGTTCCAGGGGATATGAAGTCCCCTTCTGACCTCCAAAGGGCACCAGACAAACATATGGTACATAGTCATACAGGCAGGCAAAATCCCCATGCACATAAAATAGAAATACAATTAAATCAAATCAAACTCCATAGCAATACCCAAGGAGATAAGGAAGACCACAGACAAACCATCACAAGACTCAGGCTTGAGGACTGACTACCTCTACTTATATTTGTTAACATCAGTAAATTAGACATTATCTGGTTATTAGTTCGAACAGGCCTCAATACAATAATCTAATATTCATCACTCAAAGAGGACAAATTTTAGTCTACAAAACACATTCCTTTTCAACCCTAATGCACAGTGACCTCTGTGAGAAAATGGTTTTCTTTAAGCTGTTCCTAGATATAAAACAATAAATATGAGAACAGCTCTAAATCTCCCACTGCCTCTGACACTATTTAGTCGGGCTGGCAGATTGAGACTTCTAAGAATGAAGGGCAGTCAGTGGTGGCATATACCTTTAATCCCAGCACTTGGGAAGCAGAGGCAGGCAGATCTCTAAGTTCAAGGCCAACCTGATCTACAGAGAGTTCCAGGTCACTCAGGGCTACAAAGAGAAACCCTGTCTCAAAAACAAAAACTAAAACTAAAAGAAAGGGACTGGAGAGCTGGCTCAGTGGCTAAGAGCGCTGCCTGCTCTTCCAGAGGTCCTGAGTTCAATTCCCAGCCACCATGTGGTGGCTCACAACCATCTGTAGTGGGATCTGATACCCTCTTCTGGCATGCAGGTGTACATACAACCAGAGCGCTAACATACATAAAACAAACAAACAAATAAATTAAAAAAAAAAAAGATAAACCAACAAAAGACCTGTAAGAATGAGGCTGTAGAGATAGCTCAGCAGTTAGGGCACTGGATGCTCTTCCAGAGGACCTAGGTGTGATTCTAGCATCCACAAAATAACTTACAACTACTTGTAACTACTTGTAAAAAATTGTTTATTTTTTAATTAAATTTTTATTTTTTATATTAATTAGTTTATTTACTTTGTATCCCAGCTGTAGCCCCCTCCCTAATTGTTTACTTTTTAAGAGCAGAACACCTTTGTCATTTGATTTCTTTTGTATTTCCTGGATATCTAAGCACAGGGAAAAACACTAAATTATAGTAAGGAGAGTGCTATCCTGGGTAGGCTATGTTTACCTGTAGCCTCAACAAGCAGACATCCCCAAAGGGGGCAGGGCGGCCCAAAAGAGCACTGTGGACTTGTAATTCACTCTCTCGTACTTTCTGCTCCAGCTGAGAGATATGTTTCCTCTGCCTGCAAAAGCCAACAGTCAGATTTGAGATCTTGATATTAACCCTTTACAATATGAGCCCCTTTCCTTAGATTAGAAGGGTAACAATCCTTAGACCTTGACTCTAGACATTTTAGAAGGCAGCTATATAGCTATATATGATATGCTACACCACTATACATGAATGTATGCTGGCCATTATATTTTGCTGAGAGGGTAGTATCAAATGAAAAAAAAGGAAACAAAGAATGAGGAAAGATTAGTTGCAATGAACCAATCACCCCCTGTGTGCCCTCCCTCCATAGAGCCCCTGCAGAGACCAAGCTGCCCATCAACCAGGCTCTACCTTGAGGCAAGGCATGGGCTTGAATACGGGGTAAAGTGGGGGACATGCACACCCCTGCCTCAAGAAAACCTCATTAGGCGCAGCTGGAGGGACCTGCCAGAGAATAGTCTGGTCTTACAGCACCCCTGCCATCTTACTTGTCAATGAGAAGCTCTTTTTCCTTTAGGAGATGCTCATTACTGTTCAAGATGCTGATCCATTGTGCTGGCTCTAATGTGGGCAGCAAAGGAGCAAAAGCAGCAGGATGGTGACAGATGGCTCCATTCTGAAGCTGGAGGACAAACAGGCCAGAGAGGTTTGAACTTGACCACAGGTACCTGGAAACATCTGAGTAGTACTCAGGATTGGAAAACAAGGTCTAGTCTGACTCAAAGTCAAAGTTTTAAAAATAATTTTGGCTCTAATGCATGATTGGAAAGAACTTGTCAGGGAGATGTCTGCCAACTAACCTCTGCTCAGAAAGTCTCTAGTCTCTAAGGTCAGTTATTATATCGGGAGATCAGGGAAGGAGAATACTCCTTGAATCCTTCCTTCTCACTCTTCAGCAGCATGAAGGAGTGAGAAGAGCTTAACAAAAAAAATCAACCAAGAGTTCAAAGAGATTCCCCATTTCCGATCCTGCTGTTTTTTGGAGGCAGGGTCTAGCATACCACATCCAGCTTCAAATGTTGGTTGTGTCTGTGTGTGAGAGAGAGAGAAAAAGAGAGGGGGGTGGAGAGGAGGAAGGACATATGTTGACGCCAAGAGGACAACTTGCAGTTGGCCCTCTCCTTCCACCTTTACATGGGTTCTAGAGATGGCATTCATGCTCCAGGCTTGTATAGGAGTGCCTTTACCTGCTGACCAATCTCACTGACCTCTCAAAGATGATCTTTAGGTCTGAGTGTGATGACCTTTAATCCCAAGACTGGGGAGGTAGGGGCAGGTGGCTCTCTGTGAGTTTAAGACCAGCTTGGTCTATACAGCAAGCTCCAGGACAACAGGACTACATAGAGAGACCCTGTCTCAAAAACGAACAAAACCAAAAAAGATGATCTTTAATCCTTAGTTCTGCAACTTAACCCTTTTTGTGACCCTTTTGTAGAATAAATCCCCGAGCTGATTTATTCTACAAGTCTGTTAAGTTTCTACCATTAGTTCATCAAATGCTTTGAGAATTAAATACAATTCTGTATGCTAGTGCCCCAACTTTTTGAGCTTTCTGTTGTAATTCTCTACTTCAGAAAATATATTTGGTCTTTTCATCAGACCGCTGACAAGTTTCATGGCCAATAACTACATTTTCATTTCCGGTCTACAACTGTCATCTTTACTAACAAATGTTTTCTTTAGAGTTAAAACCTGTTAAGGGCAAAGTAGGCTAGAGAGATGGCTCTGTAATTAGAGAGCAGGTATTGTTCTCCCAGAGGCCCTGAGTTCAGTCTCTCATACCCCTATTAGGTGGCTCACACCTACCTTTAACTCCAGTTCCAGGGGATCCAATACCCTCTTCTGGCCTTTTCGGTCACTGCACTCGTATGTACAAAGCCACACTCTGATACTCACATAATACAGCCAGGGCTTAATACGGAAACCCTGACTCAAAAAAAAAAAAACAAAACAAAACAAAAAAAAAAACCACCCAAACAAAACAAATAAAAGCCCTAAAACTTATAAGACAAAGGTTATGAAGTTTAAAGAGGAACGCAACATGCAAAATGCAAGCAATGGTTCTCTACCTGCATTTGTTCCATCTGTAAACGAATCAATTCCAACTGCTGTCGACAAGTACTGAGTTCACAAGATTGTTCTCCAGGATGCCAAGGGTCAGGACTTGGTTGCCACACCTGAGAGGACAGTGACTTGGAAAGCCCAGGAGCAGGCTGGAGTCCCAAAGGGAGCACCCCACTGCTGCCAGCATGTGGTCCATTCCGCTCAAATACTGCACCACTGCCTGGTGCCTTCTTGGATTCTGGCAATACTTTGTATACATCTTTATTTGTATCAGATCTGGGGTTGGGAAAGTGGGCTCGGTAATGTGGATCTGAATATAATGTCTCTACCATGGCTGGCTGGTTAAGGGTAGACTCCATGCTAGGAATATCAAACTTCCTCATCTCTCCCTCTCGTTCATGGCCTACTGCTGGAAACCAGGACTGCTGAACCCCATTCTCTCCAGCAGCACTAGGGAGGTACATGAAATCTCTTGATAGGCCTGGAGAGCGTTTCACTGCACCAAAGTCTCCATTTCTTGTCATGCCCACACCTTCAGCCAACCCTGACAAGGGAAGTTTAGCAGAAGAAGGCCCAGAAGGTGTAGAATTTGGTTTGGCAGGAGAGGCCCCCAAAGTAGAAGGCATCACATGGGCTGTTGGAATGGTTATGTGGCTTTTGATTGGCTGGAAAGAAGGGCTGCCACTTGAGCTGCAAAAATCTGTGGAGAGAAGAGTCTTCCGTGAGTCAAAATTAAAGCAGCAAGTTTTCTCATTTGATCGCTATGCCAGATGTTCTCTGTTTTCAGACCAAGTAGAGATAGTGCTATCAAAAAGAGCAGGTAGGAGCTGGAAGTAGTGGGTGGTTCATGCCTATAATCCTAGCACTTAGGAGATAGAAGCAGAAGAATTATCCTGAGTTTGAGGCCAGTATGGGCTATACTGACAGTTCTAGGAAAGCCATGGCTACAGAGTAAACTCTTGCTCCCTAAGAGAGAAAGAAAATCAAGCAAGACACAACAATTTGAGAAGTTTATGTTCCAGTATCTCAAATGCCAACAAAAGACAACAATGACTTCAACTTTTAATTTGTATTATGTCTTTTATATTAAAAAACAAAAAAACAAACTCTTGGTGATCACCAAGCAAAGCTGAAAACTGTACAAAACTCACTTTCTTTTAGGTCTTACTCTTCTAGAAGCTGGACAAATCTAATTATAATCTAATCTAATAAAAATGAAACTCATTCTAAGAAGTGCCAAAGCCCTCTGACCTCCAAAAGCTCCTCAATGAAAGTAAACAATGAGTCCAAACTACCTGAATCTAGGAGAGACACACGGTGCTGAGGGTCCAGGGCAGGAGCATGCATCTGAGTCAGGACTGTTCTTTCTCCCTCACCCCACAGCCGACTGCCTGCACATTCGAAGTTATTCTTAGTAACTCTCAGGTTTCACCCTAGCACACTGAGCATGCTCCAGTGGGTAAATACAGAAATCTTTTGTTTTGTATTTTGTTGTCCACTTGCCTACTTTTCTGTACTAAACTTTTTTTTTTTCTTCAGACTAGACTTGTATTTATTTGAGGCCCACCTGGGCTATATAGCTGGCTGGAAACTAGCCCGAGCTATATCCTTAGACCCTGTCTCAAAACAAAACATCTCCAAAACCAAAACAAGTAACAACAAACACACCCAAAACAAATTATCTCTTGTAATTTCTGTGAAGTATATAACTTCCTATATTCAGGTTATCCTGGAGGTATATCAAAGATTACACTAAAAGCAAAGACAAGTTCCGGGCAAACCCAGCAGTAGTGAGGCCTTCCCAGTGCCCTCCAAGTGCATGCCATTTCCCAGGTCCCAGCTCTACCTGAAATCCCAGAGACCAGTAGCCATCTGGGACTACCAGATAGGAGACCAGGACAACTGTCCTCTGAGAGGCTCCACCCAGCAGTGGATAGAAACAGAGACTCACAGTCAAACATTAGGTGGAGCTTGGAGAGTCTTGTGGAAGAGATGGGAGAAGGATAGATGGACCCAGAGGGGACAAGAACTCCACAAGACCCTGAGGGAGGAACAGTCTTGCTAGGCCACAGAGGAGGACATGGCAGCCAGTCCTGAAAATACCTGATAAGCTAGGGTCAGATGGAAGGAGAGGAGGACCTCCCCTAGCAGTGGATTTGGAAAGGGGCAGGGAAGATGGGATTGAGAGGGAATGAGGAAGGAAGCTATGGATGGGATACAAAGTAAATAACCTGTGATGATTGATTAATTAAAAAACAAAACAAAAAACAAACAAACAAACAAAAAACCACAAAAAGACCAAGAGATTCAACTCGACTAACCAGGACCACAGGGGCTCACGGAGACTGAACCACCAACCAATCAGCATGCACCAAGGTCCTCTACACTTATGTAGCTGATGGGCAACTCGGTCTTCAAGAGGGTAGCCTAGCAATTGGAGTGGGGGTTGTCTCTGACATGGACTATGTTGGCTGCTTCTGTATCACTTTCCCCTAGCTGGGCTGCTATGTTGGGCCTCAGCAGAAGAGGATGAGCTCAGTCCTGATGTGACTTGATGTGCCAGGGCAGGTTGGTGGTGGTGTGGGGATCCCTTTTTCTGAGGAGAAGAGGAAGGGGGAAAGAGGAAGAAGGTAGAAGAGCAGGGCTGGGAGGAGCGGAAGGAAGGGGCTGCAACAGGGTTGTAAAGTTAATTTTTTCAATAAAAAAAAATAAATGAAATAATAATAAAAAAACACACAAAGCTGTCCCGTTCTCACAGCACAGTAATAGAGGACACTGAGACTGTAGTGCTGCTAAGGCAGTGAACCCAGACCCAGGCTTTAAATTATCAAGTCAAGTCACCCCTGAAGTCTGAACTGTCTTTTAGAATATTTTGAAAGAGAATAGCAATACTTATTTTCAACTTGCACTATATATTCTATGACTTTCAAAGGCACTCCAGATTTAGTTTATGGATTTTTATGTATAGAAAGCCACAGTTCCCCAAATCACAGAGCTTTTGATATTTCAAGGCTATAATTCTAAATATCTTAGTCACATCCTGTCCCTCAAAAGGCAGTTCATTCTTTTTAGCAACCCTCCTTTCATTGTATGACAAGAGTCAGCCACTGCTAAAAATCAATCAGTTCTGACTACATTCCACACTGGTTATCAAGGATGATAGTCTGTGTCAGCTCAGCAACTATGCATTGAATAATTCTATTATGAAGCAATTGGGACCAAAAGCAGTGTAAATGGGGCATGGGACAGGGGGTGGTCGGGGATATTTGCACAGATTTGACTGGTTGGGCATCCATAACACAAAATTTTAAAATCTAAAAAGGCTAATTAAAATATCGGATTGGGGGGAGGGGTTGGAGAGATTGAGCTGCTCTTCCAGAGGACCTGGGTTCAATTCCCAGTACCCACACGACAGCTCACATCTGTCTGTAACTTCAGTTCCAAGGGCTCTGCACACAACATAAGTGCAAGCAAAACACCAATCAATGTTCATAAAATTAAAATAAATTATTTAAAACAAAAAACAAAAAATTATCAAGCTGGATTGGATAGAGTAGGAAACGCCTGTATGTAATTCCATCAGTTGTACTCCTATCTTTGGCTACAACTGACTTTGCGATCAGCTGGGCTACTTCATGAGACACTGTCTCAAAAATTAATAATAATAACCGTGAGGCATAGGAACTGGGTTAGTATAGCCCAACAGTAGAATATTTGCCTATCATCTACAAGCCCTCAATCTGATGTCCAACAATACACACAGAGTCACAGTATAAAAACAAAAATGGGCCAGGCGGGGCTGGAGAGGCGGCTCAGCAGTTGAGAGCACTGACTGCTCTTCCAGAGGGCCTGGCTTCAACTCCCAATACCCATCTACATGGCTGCTCACAACTGTCTGCAACTCCCAAGATCTGACAGCCTCACACACATATACATGCAGGCAAAACATCAACGGACATAAAATTAAAATAAATAATGAAAAAAAAAGGGCCAGATGGTGGTGGGGCACACCTTTAATCCCAGCACCCAGGAGCAAAGGCAGATGGATCTCTGAGTTTGAGTCAACCTGTTCTATAGAGTGAGTTCTAGGATAGCCAGGGCTATACAGAGAAACCTGTCTCAAAGACAAACAAACAAAAACTTGGGAGGGGGGCATTTTCATCATTTTTCTTCCCTACTCTTACCTTCTTACAATAAGGGCCCAGGTTGGCCTCAAACTCACTATACAGCTAAAAATGATCATGAACTTGTGATCTTCCCTCTAATTGCTGACTACAGAGCTATGAGACCCTAAACAAACATGTTTTAAATTTTAAAACAATTTATTGATATTATTATTACCACTATATATGTACATAATGTGTTTGCAGGTATGTGTGCCATCGTGCATATGTGGAAGAAAAGAGGGCAGCATTGTGGAGTCATTCCCTCCTTCCACCTTTGCATGGATTCAAGGTATAGAACTCAGGTTGCACTTTTACCCAAAGAGCCATCTCATCAGCCCTGCTTGTTTGTTTTTTGATAAAGAGGCTTGCTATGTATGGTACATTCCTCCCTTGGAACCCCTTAATAAATTTATGTATTTATTTAATCTGCTCTTAACCTCTGAGCCATCTCCCCAGACCCCAGTTTGTTTGTTTTTATGAGACAGGATCTTAGTATATAGCTTTGGTTGTCCTGAACTCAGTAAACCAGACCAGGCTGGCCTTGAACTCAAGAGATCTGCCTGCCTCTGATCCCAAATTCTGGGATTAAAGGTCTGGCCCCATAAATAGTAATTATTATCATTAGATCTTCTAACTTCTATGACCCATCTAAATGCCTTGTAAAGTACTGATAGGCAGTTGGCCCATAAGTGAAAAAACAAGTAGCAAAGATATTAAAGACAAAAAATGTTATATGGAAGGTAACCAGAAAAGAAAAGGGGGGGGGGAAAGTCTTGTAGGATTACTGGAACATATATAATAGTAAAACTGGAAGATCTAGCAGCACAACTGAGAATGGGAAGAGCACAAACAGGGCTAGATTAAAGAAGGGAAAAGAGGCTATGAATGAAAAAAACAGGCCAGGGCTATGTCTGAATGGCAAAACATCTGTCCAGCATGTGTGAGGCTCCAGGCTCAATCTCTAGAACCATAAAAACAAAAACTAAAAAACAGGTCGGTGTACTCACACCATAGTAAGACAGCAAATTTGGTGATATTAAGAAATAAACTTGAGATTAGTTACGGTTATTCAGATTCTATGACTGAATAGCCTGCCTTATGATCATTCTGTAAATGACAGTATATGAGGGATTCAAACTGAAAATGATAACATATGTTGACAATCAAATCACAAATCCAACCTTACCCTCTGCAATGTCTGAGCATGACGTTCCAATGGCTGTGTCCCCACTGTCAGCTATACTTGGGCAGCGGCTGAAGCGGCTCCTAAAGGCCTCTGAGATAACTGGTGTCTGCCATTCAGTTCCCAGAGAATTGCCTTTTTGAATCACATTGGAACCTATAAGAGAGGCATTTTTCACTTTAGTGTGAACAATTGATGAAACTCAATAAAGTACTTTTTTTTGGGGGGGGGGGGTAAAGTCAGTAAATTTCTATTTAGGGGATTTCACGTGTAATTCCTTTACTGTCTGTCTACATTGTTGAGGCTCAAGATTTCCCAAGATGGCCCCTTTTCAGAGAATTGGTACTTAATCTAGTTGTGTCATTAGCCCTGTATGACAAAAGCATGGAGTAATGAACTAAACACCTGGAGCTACATTCTTCTACCTCAGTTATACCTACCTGCATATGGAAGGAAGGAAGGAAGGAAGGAAGGAAGGAAGGAAGGAAGGAAGGAAGGAAGGAATCTTAAGGACAATACAAAGAAACAAGGTAAGGGGCTGGAGATGGCTCAGGAATTTAGAGCACTGGCAGCTCTTCCAGGGGACCCATATTTGATGCTTAGCACTTATATGACAGCTCACAAACATCTGTAACTCCAGTTCCACTGAATCTGATGTTCTCTTCTGGCCTCTAAGGGCATCATGCATGTACTTGATACCCAGATATACATGCAGACAGAACATTCAAACACATAAAATCTTTTTTAAAAACCTTTTTAATGTAAAATATTTAAAGAAAACACTTTTAATTTCTGAGCAGAAAGAAAAATGAGTTGACTTCAGAGTATATTCTAGTAGATATGTTAGATTAGGATTTTAAAATCAACATGCCATGGACAGTGGTTAAGAGCACATACTGCTCTCGATGAGGACCTAAGTTCAGCTCCTAGCCCTTTGGGTAGCTCAAACTACCTGTGACATCAGCTGTAGGGGGACTGGCACCTTCTTCGAGCATGGCCTGGCCTGGCCTCTGCACTCATGTACATATACTCACACACATACATACACACTTCATTAAAAGAAAAAACTTAAATCCAAAGAACTTTTGTTTTTGAGACAATGTCACCTATGCCTTCAAATTCTAGACCCTCCTGGCTTGGCTTCAGGTGTGGGTGCTATAGGTGTTACAGGTGTATACTCCCAGTACTGGCTTGTTTTTCTCACTTGTTTATTTTTTTTTTCTTTTTCTTTCTTTGTAGCTCAGTGGTAGAACGCTTGTCTTGCATCTTTAAAGCTCAGGACTCAAAGCTTAGCAACACCAAAACAAACAGAAAACCTCAACTATATTATTTCTCTTTTGAGGCAGGTTCAGGATTGCACACACAGCTGAGGGGTGGCCTTGAACCTGGGATCTACCTGTCTCCCAAGAGATGCGTGTGGGATGCACACATCTTGCTCAGCTTACACTTAGATGATTTTTTAAACCACTTTGAATGTTTAAAGTTGTATCTGAAGATCCACATAAACAAATGCACCAGCAGCTACTTATCCTCCATTTAATTTATACCAAAATTAAACCATGGAAGATATGGTTCTTTAGACTGTTTGGTCTAGAAGCAGGCAAATGATCTCTTAACACAAATTACCTTCCTTCTTTCAGGCTTAGTGCTTCTGCCACTTTTACCCCCTTTTCTTCCCTACCGTCACCTTCTACTTCCAATACATACCTTTAGTTTCTCCTGAAGGCAGCCTTTTTCTAAGGACTCCTACTATCTGAGTTATAGTCCAACTTCAAATTATCTTTTTTTTTTTAACTTTTATTAGTTACACTTTATTCACTTTGTATCCCCCCATAAACCCCTCCCTCCCCCCTCCTAATCCCACCTTTCCTCCCCCTTCTTCAGGCATGCCCCTCCCCAAGTACACTGATAAGGGAGGTCCCCCTCTCCTTCATTCTGATCTTAGTCTATCAGATCTCATCATGAGTGGCTGCACTGTCATCTTCTGTGGCCTGGTAAGGCTGTTCCTCCCTCGGGGGGGGGGGGGGGAGTGATCAAAGAGCAGGCCAATCAGTTCATGTCAGAGGCAGTCCTTCTTCCCATTACTATGGAACCCACTTGGACACTGAACTGCCATGGGCTACATCTGTGCAGGGATTCTAGGTTATCTCCATGCATGCTACTTGGTTGGAGTATGAGTCTCTGGGAAGACCCCTGTGTTCAAATTTTCTGGTTCTGTTGCTCTCCTTGTGGAGTTCCTGTCCTCTCCAGATCTTACTATTTCCCACTTCTTTCATAAGATTCCATGCACTCTGCCCAACAGTTGGCCTTAAGTCTCAGCATCTGCTTTGATAGTCTGCAGGGCAGAGCCTTTCAGAGGCCCTCTGTGGCGGGTTTATAGTCTAACTTGAAATTATCTTTTTTTTCCTCTTTCCCTTTTTTTTTTTTTTTTTTTTTAACAAGGCAAGGTTTCTCTGTGTAGCCTTGGCTGTCCTGGAACTAGCTCTGTAGATCAGGCTAGCCTCAAATGCAAGAGATTCACTTCTGCTTCCTGAGTGCTGGGATTAAAACTGTACCACCATGCCCACTTTATCTGGCATATTTTAGTGTGTGTTCTGCGAGTGTGTCCCATGTGAGTTACTTAAACTATATTTTTGTACCTGGGTATGGTACCTCACACCTATAATCCCTGCACTTAGAAAGTGGAGGCAGAAGGATCAGGACTTAAGGTCATCCCTGGCTACAAATGGAGTTTCAGACCAGCTTGTCCTTAAGTCACATGTCCTACCAGCAGCTCTGTATAGCTAGGTGTGGTGGCATACAGTAATTACCTCAAGTCTAAGATCAGACTGGTCCATATAGTGAATTCCAGGTCAGCCAGGACCCCAAGACCCTGTTACCAGCACCAAACCAAACAAAACCCTTTTGTGTGTATGTGCTTGGGTTGTTTTAAAGACCATTATTAATCTGAAAGACATGCTACTGAAGACACCATTAAAAAGGCAGGGAACTTTGTTAGGGATTGCTTTCTTGCAAATACTTGCACCACCTATGTGATCACTATTAAATTTACCTATAAATAGCAGATAAGCACTGAATGAACTGGAAGTTATCTGGAGGCTTATCACGATGCCTACTGTGTACGAGAAGCACGCTGGCCAACAAAAAGTCTCAGGAGTAGAAGCACTTGGGTACAACCTTGGCAAGCTGAGTTTGATCCCCAGATCCCACAAGGTGGCAGGAGAGAATGACTCTTGAGAGTTGCTACCTGACCTCCACGGCACATGCACGCAAATAAAAATGAAGAAAACAAACCTAAGAGGATACCATAAACATGTACCAGCTGTCTACTGTGAGCCAGGTACTGTAAGGCTTTCAAGTTAAATAAATCATACATTTAAGTTGAATTTTAAAAAATGTCATTTCCTGACAAATACTTCAAAAAAAATCAAGTTATTTTACTACTCTGATCTTAAATTTGCTTCCTCTAGTAAATCCCATCTCTCTAAGTGTGTATGCTTAGCAAACATACTTCATATACCTACACTGTACGTCTATTGACCTTTCAAAAGCTTGTCAATCCATTCTAGAGATAAATTCCCAGGTCTCTTGTGACGGTGTAAGAGATGGCTCAAGAATTCCAATCTTTACAGAGTAGCACATGAGTAGAAGCCTGTGATTCATGCTGTTTATTCTTCCCTGATTTCACTCAGAACTATGTCTCAAAGACAAAACAGTTAGCCTCTAGACTCCACATGCACAAGAGCACACACCTACATATCTCTCTGGGTTTCTCTCTCTGAAACAGCAGAAGCCAAAATTCAATACATGAAGACCACTCACCTGGTGAAGCAGCATGAGGAGACCTGTCATTTGGATATTTTTCTTGCATGGCCATCGGTTACCTGAGACAACTGCAGAATGAAAGAGTAACCAGTCAGACTTTCCAGATGCTTTTAAAAAAGTATCTATATAAACTGTAATTAATATAAAAAAATAAACATTTAATTAAAAAATCTCTAACTCAGTTCCCATTGGCTGGAATTAAAAAAAAAAAAAAAAAACCTTGATATAAGAAGAAAGAAGTTCAGTTTCCTCCTAACCCTCTATGCTTCTAGCATCAGACTCTGTGTGTGTGTGTGCATGTGTGGGGGGGTATTCTAACTGGCCCACTCCCAATGCTACCCTAACTCCCAGGTTGTTTTACCCATGCTTCTTATCAACTAGTTATAAACCAATAGTCCCTGACACCCTCCTAGTTTGATTTATTTTGCTAGAACTCAAGGAGTCTTTACATTTCCTAGTTTAAATTAGGTGTGATGGTACACATCTGTAATTCCAGCACACGGAGCCAGAGACAGGAGAATTACCACAAATTCAAGGCTAGCCCAGTTTATATACTGAATTCCAGGTCAACCAGAACCTGTTTCAAAAAAATAAAGTATGAGCTTATTACAAAGATATTACAGCCAGCTATGGTACTGCATACCTATAATCCTACATTTGGGAAGCTGAGGCAGAAGGATTACCACAAATCTGAGGCCATCCTGTGCTAAGGAATGAGAGTTTCTCAAACTAAACAGAAAACAGGGAAAAAGGATTATAAAGGACATAGATAAAGAGATGCATAGGGAAAAGGCAAATAAGTTGTGTAGAGCTTCAAATAGCCCCACTCCCAGGTTTGCTACTGATGAAAAAGCCAGAAACAATAAACCCATGTTATAAAGGATTTGCCAAGAAATTTGGTTGGGAAAAACCAATTTACACAAAAGTAGAATTTAGCTAAAGAAGAACTGTTTCAAATATGACTGGAAGATTTAAGTACCATACTAATCAGATTTCTTAGGTACTATAAAAAGCTAAAATAATAATAATAGGGCTTTACTTCTAAAATAATTAGGAGCTTGGGGTTACTGGAGATATGTTTTTGTAATGATTTGTTCACCAAGACTGCCCATAAAGTTCTACTGCCATATCAAAAGGAGTAGAAATCTGACAGGCAGTCAGAATAACCCTGGCTAACAACGCCCCCAAAACAAAATAAAACAAAACCCTACAAAAACTACCCAGGGCCTTTGAGCAAAAAAGTCATCTCAGCAGCATATGAAAAGATACATCTCATTTTGAAGATTCTAAGGCTATTTTATCAATATGCAACAAGCAAGAGAAGAAAATATCTATTTTACAATAACATATCATACAGTCAAGTATTCTCCCATTGAAGAATATTTTATGGTTAGAGAGATTGCTTAGCCAGCTAAGAATACCAGCTGCTGGAGGCTGGAGAGTTGGCTTAGTGGTTAAGAACACTGAATATTCTTCCTAGAGGACCCAGGTTCAATTCCCAGCACCCACACATGGCAGTTCACAACTGTCTGTAACTCAAGTTCCAAAGAACATGATGCCCTCACAGGCTTACATGCAGGCAGAACACTAATGTACATGAAGTATTTTTATTAAAAAAACAGAAGGAGTTCCAGCTGTTCTTTCAAAGGACACAGGTTCAATTCCCAGCCTTCCCTTGGTGGCTCAAAACTACCTATAACTAGGAATCCAACACCCTCTTCTGGTCTCTGGTGGCAGTAGTTACACACACACACACACACACACACACACACACACACACAAAACAAAACAAAACAAAAAAAAAAAAAACAAAAAAAACTATCCAGACCAAACACCCACATATAATAGATAGTGACCCAAAAAAAATTTTTTTTAAGGGTATTTTCAAAAAGAAAACATGTGCCCGGTGTAGTGGCAAACACCTTTAATCCCAGCACTCAGGAGGTGGAGGCACAGGGAGGCAGAGGCAGGTAGATTCTGTAAGTTTGAGGCCAGCCTGGTTCTATATAGAGTTCCAGGACCACCAGAGCTACACAGAGAGAGACCTTGTCTCAAACAAAAATAAAAGTAAATTATGGGGGCATGGTGGCCCCCATATAGTGCCAACTACTCAAGGGGCCAAGATAGGAAAACTGCTTGAAGTTCAAGACCAACCTGGGAAATATATAGCAAGATCCACACCTCAAAAAACAAACAAAAGGGGCTGGAAAGACAGCTTAGTGGTTTAGACAGTGTACTATTCTTGCAGAGGGCCTACATTCAGTTCTAAGCACCCATGTCAGGCAGATCACAACCCCCTTATACATCCAGCTCCAAGGACTTCAAGGGTACTTGCATTCACATTTCACATCTACACACCTATACTTATAACTAATGTGTGTGTATACATATACATATACATACATATACATACATACATACATATATATATATTTAAAGCTGGGTAGTAGTGGCACATGCCTTTGATCCCAGCACATGGGAAACAGGCAGGTTCATTTGAGAGTTTAGGCAAGCCTAGTCTACAGAGTAAATTCCAGGACAACCAGGGCTACAACAACAACAAAATCTGTCTCAAAACAAACAAATAAACACAGAAACACAGAATAACATTTATTTACTGTATGTGTGCACAACAGTGCACCTGTGGAAGTGAGAGGGCAAACTCTGCAGAATCAGTTCTACATTTCTACCATGTATACTAGGAATCAAGCTTGGGCTGTTGGGCTTGGGACAAGGGCCTTTCTTTACATGGTAACCATCTCACCTACCCATGTCACCTACCCATGGAGGCCAGAGGTGGACATCAGGTGTCGTCTACCACATTTTTTTGAAGCAGTGTCTCTTTAACTAAACAGGAGTACAGATTCAGCTGGACTGGCTGGCCAGTGAGCTCTGGGGATCTTTGTCTCCATATCCTTTTCCTCCCAAGCACTGGGCAGTTATAGATGGAACTGTTGAGCCTACTGGAGATCAAAATCCAGTTTCTCATGTTTTTACAGCCAGCTCCCAGTTCCAAAATAGTTTTTTCTTAAGACAATCTCTGTCTCTTATAAAGTACTCATACTTAAAAACTTAGGGGGTAGGGGCAAAAAAAGAGACTCACTTATGCCAGGCTGACCTCAAACTCACTTCTGTAGCTAAAAATGACCTCGAACTTGTGATCCTCTTCCCACAAGGGCAGGCTTGTGGAGTCATTCCCTCCTTCCACCTTTGCATGGATTCAAGGTATAGAATTCAGACTGCACTTTTACCCAATGAGCCATCTCACCAGCCCTGCTAGTTTGTTTTCTGACAAAGAGGCAAGCCTCCTTGGAACCCCTTAATAAATTTATATATTTAATCAGAAAAAAAAAAGTCTAGCTGTATAGCCCAAATTGGCCTTGAACCTGCAGTAATTTCCCTGTCTCTGGTTCTCCTACACCAAACAAACAAACAAACAAAAAAAAAACTCAAAACAAAACAACAACAAAACAAATAAATAAGCAAACTGTGTCAGGTAGAACACTCCTTCGAAGCTAGTATTTGGGAGACATAGGTTAAGTATTCTAGGCACTACATGGTGATGGCATTTAAGACATATACCATTACACCCAACTGAGAATTCTTTTTTTGTTTTTGGGGTTTCTCTGTGTAGCCTTGGCTGTCCTAGACTCTTTGTAGACCAGGCTGGCCTCAAACTCACAGAGATCGTCTGCCTCTCTGCCTGCCAAAGTAAGAACTTTCTTTTGTAAATAAAAAATTTTTAAGATCATTTCATAAGCTGCACTGTTTAGATTAGCAGAAGCACTAATATGGTGGACTCAAGACTACAAATATACCAGCCCTAAGTACACAGTTATCTGTTAAGTTTTTAATGCCTTTGTTAGGAAAACAAAAATCAGGACAGGAATTCAGAATATAATTCTTAGAGGTAAAATTCAATTCTGAAAGAAAAAAAAAAGGTGGTTATATGGTACTAATTAATGTACTTTGCTGACCTCTACAGTTCTATCTTAGCAACAACCACCCAAGGGTCATCAACTCATTGTATGCAATAACATAATGTGACCATGTTCTAAAACCACACTTCATAAAAGCATCAATTTAGCACTCAGGAAGCAGAAACAGGAAGACTGAAAGTCCCTGGTTAGCCTGAGCTTTGTCTCTAAAACAAACAGGATGGAAAGATAGCTCAGTGGGTACTAGCTGCGCTCTCAGGGGACCTGGGTTGGTTCCCAGCACCCATATAGTACCTCCAAACAACCAGCCTTAACTGCAGTTCCGGGAGACTTGACACCCTCTTCTAGGCTCTTTGTGTACTGCATGCACACGGTGCACAGATACACATGCAGGCAAAACAACATCATATACATAAAATAAAACCCAAAAACTCTCAAGAATCAACATCAACAAAATCTTCGACTTACGACTAGTTACCTGATACCAATTTATGGCTAGCCATTCAACTGATGGCCGGTGAGTTAATGATACAGGATAATCACCCACCTGTTGGTGATGTTTCTGGTCAATATCAAAACTACTCTTTCATTGGGCCTCTTCTTTTGCCTGTTACTGTTGTAGTCATTTTGGTTTATGATACGTAAACATATTTTTGTTAGAATTCTTAGTTGGGGATTTTAGTTTGTCCACACCTGTTAAGTATCTTATGTGGAGTATCTTTGCCAGCTGGAATCAGTTGACTTCTGAGGACTTACAGGGGTATAACTATGACAGCCCAGTGAAAGATGGTGCAGCTGCTTGGAGGAGGACTGCTTGCTGCTGGTTCGCCCTGCTGTTGTGTTTGCTGTTTGCTGATTTGCTGGTTATCTGGACTTCTGGATTTCCTGATGACTGATACTGGTATTGTCCCCAAAAGAATCCTACGACCCTATCCAGCAGGAAGTAGCAAAGAAAACTCTGTCCCAGTCCCCACTAACCTTCTTTCTTACCCAGTGTTGGGAAGGGGGAAGTTGGAGGGGAAGTAGAAGCACTTTAAGAACACTAAATTAAAGTAGGTTTGTTAAAAAGTCTAAGCACATACTTTTTTTTTTTGACAAAGGGTCTTGCTATTGTAGCTCCTGCTCACTTT